GAAATAGGTAGTTTTAGGGCATTAGTCCTTTTGTTTTGTTAACTTTTTATTCTGAAAAAAAAAAAAACCACACCAAAAAACAAAACCCCCAAAAGCAAAAACAAACAAAAAACCCCAGCTGAGTGGATAGAATACTGTCCCCCCTCCATTTGTCCATTATCTCACTCAAAATTTTTATTTTTTTTAAGGATATATTTTTATTGATTTCAGAGAGGAAAGGAGAGGGTTAAAGAGATAGAAACATCAATGAGAATCATTGATCAGCTGCCTCCTGCACGCCCCCTACTGGGGATCGAGCCTGCAACCTAGGCATGTGCCTTGGCTGGAATTGAACCTGGGACCTTCAGTCTGCAGACCGATGCTCTATCCACTGAGCCAACCGGCGAGGGCTCGCTCAAACAGTTTTCAACTCTGTCAGTCTGTGACAGCACTGCCTCCACTGTCTCCCCCTGGACCTGGCCCCTGGGTTACTTTGGAGCAATCTCAGACGTCAGAGCCCATGATTACAGCATCCCCAGGTGGTTCCCATGTGCAGACCAGGTTGAGACCTGCGGATCTAGTGCAAGCCCTTCATTGTACAGATAAGCAGACTGTGGCCCAGGGAGGAGAAAGGACGTGCAAAAGCTCCACAAAATGCCTCTTCCTCTTTAACATTCCATGAACACGTGAACCTGGAAGCACCATAGAGACTTTTGGAGTATCCTTGTCAAAACACTTCTGGGAAGCCTCACCCTGGTGACAAGCCAAGACCTTCCAGAGGTGGAGTGGGCCTCTATCCCAGTTGCCAGCCGGAGGTTTTGTTTCTTCTGGTTCCTGGCAGACCTCCGTCCTGCTTTCTTCTGCTTAGTGTCACTGCTAGACAGCTCACGAAGGGCCCTGTTTGAATCCTCTCAAGCTCTCTGCCCCTTTGGTTGACACTCAGTGGTTCTGTTTTCTGCCTGAAGGACTGGGTGGGGCTGTGATGACTCAGAACTGGGAGGGCCTGGTGTTGCTGGCCTGGGGCTCCTCCACGCTCCAGAGGCACAGGAGGCCAAGTGTTCACAGGACCAGGT